GTGTGGGTGTGCGTGTGCGTGTGCTCGTGAGTTTATATAGATTATTTGCACATTTAAGTCAATTACAATGAATTAATAAAAAGTAAAATTAATAAATAAAAAATAATAATAATATCGTTTGCGTAAAAAACTTAAAAAACTTTTTTTTTTTTTTCGTGGAGATTGATCTCAGAGTATGAAATCTTCAATTAGAAAAAAAAAAAGAAAAAAAAATAAAAAGAAGAATAATAATAATAATAAAATAATTGATAAATAAATAAATAAATAAACATAACGAAATACTCTTTTTTTTTTGTTAACAATAATTATAACAACAATAATTGTTCGTATTTAAACAAAGTCATTTAATTGTTATTAAAATGACTTTTTCGAGATTTTTTTTTCTTGTTTTTTGTTTTAATTAAGCAGTATTAATAATTATTTCGAACAAAATTACTTAAATTAATAACGGCACAGATTATTATTATTATTATTATTATTATTTTACATGACACACGTATATCGTACGGTATCCTTATTAGTGTATTAAAATTTCTTTTTTTTGACAAAAATTGTTTAAAAAAATAAATAAATTGCATGTAATTAAATTTAAAAAAAAAAATTACGTTGTTTTTATCATTATTATCAGAACTATTATCATTATTATTATTTTTACCGTTAAAATTTATAAAATCTGTGTCAAAGTTAATTTTTTTCCTAAAATTTTTTCTTTATGAAAAAAAAAAAAAAAAAAAAAAAAGAGTATGAATGAAAAAAAATTAAAAATATTCAATAATGTAATAAATAAATGTAATTAATAAATTGTATAGATTAATAATTATGTAATTAAAATGATAATGATAATAATAATAAAATTTATATACGAGTATTTATATTTGAAAAAAAAAAAAAAGGGTTGCAGGCAGCCTAATTGTAATTAATTTTATATAATATATAATATATATGTGTATGTATTTCAAATATCATTTTTTTTTTTTTTAGTATTCAGTTACTTATCACGTGAATTTTTTGTGGTAGCTTTTTATTATTATTATTATTATTATTATTATTATTATTATTATTATTATTATTATTATTTTTATAAAGAAAATTTTAAATAAACTTAATATATATAATTTTTTTTTACGGTTTATAATGATCTCAACAAATCTTTTATAAATTCTAAAATAAATTTTTTTTTTTTGTGGCATAAAAATTGATTTCGATAATAATAATAATAATAATAATAATAATAATAATAATAACTGCTCATTTATTATACAAGAAAAAAAAAATTAAATTTGGCACATTTATACAGTATTTCGTTCGTTTTTCTTTTTTTTTTTTTTAGTGATTATGTAAACCGTTAAATAGAATGAAATAAATTAATATTTTCTATAAATGTTTTCTCTCTCTCTCTCTCTCTCTCTCTTACTTATTAAAATTCCTTACTCATAATTTTATTTAAAAAAAAAAAATAGTATTGTTTGCAAAAAAAAAAAAAAAACATTTTGAGATATGATTTTTGATTCGAAACAAAGAAAAAAAAAAAAATTTTTTTTGCAAACGTTATCTTGTTTTATATCGTTATGTAATTAATGAAAATAATTTTCATCATAGTTTTCTTATTATTTTCTTTTAGCTACATCAATTTTAATTACTAATCATTGTCAATATAAATTAATTACTTTGATTGTTATTATCATTAATTGATTTATTTATTTCCTTTTCGAAAAATAAACAAATTGGGAAAAAAAAGAAATTTAGTAGTCATAATCAAATTTGAAGTGCTTTAATGACACATATCAATTTTCCTTCAAATCGTTTTGTTTAATTAAAAAATCAAATGATAATGTTATTGTTGTAACAATAAAAAATTAATTTCCTTTTTCGAATCAAACATTTTTTTTTTTTTTCTTCCAAGATTAAATTATGACCTAAAACCTCAAAGGTTCTTTTATTGATAAGTAATTGAGTAAAGCTTTTTAGGTTCAGCTATTTAAGAAATAATAATAACTAAGATAAAACAAAAAATTTTTTTTTTTTTTTTTTTTATAAAATATCTTTCTTACAATTTTATTTATTAACTAATTTTTTATAAAAATTTTTAAAAAATTAATATAAAAATACAAAAAAAAAAAAAGAAAAAAAAATTTTGTTCATTCAACAACAAATGTTGAAAATATTTTTAAAAAAATCGAATGTGATGAAACAAAATAATTATTATTATTCTTTCGATTAATATTCATCATTGAATGGATATAAGCTGTGATCTTTAATCCAATCCAAATGACAAACTCTACCATTGCAATCTAATGAATTAATGACAGATATATCGTCTGCTGTCAATGAAAAATCAAAAATTTTAAAATTTTCCTCTATTCTTGATTTTGTTACAGATTTCGGTATGACAGCATGACCTCTGTCAACTTGATATCTTAATAGTACTTGAGCAACCGTCTTTTTATGTTTATCAGCAATTTGTTTCAATTTCAAATCTTCAAACAATTGAGCATCTCCAGGTTTGGCCCACGGTCTATCTGGAGACCCCAATGGACTGTATGCTGTTATCACTACATCTCTTTCCTTACAAAAATCAGATAGTTTTGTTTGATTGAGATAAGGATGACACTCGACCTGATTCACCACAGGTTTAATTTTACAGTCACTTAAAACTTCAGATAATTGTTTGCTGTTAAAGTTGGATAAACCGATTGATCTCGTCAAACCCTTTTCCACGCAATCTTCCATGACCTTCCATGTCGTTTTAAAATGAGCATCGCTATATGCGGTTTTACCTGTGTCGTCAACTGGAAACAAATCATCACCTTCTCTGTACGCTTGAGGCCAATGAATTAAATACAAATCAAGATAATCGAGTCCTAATTTTTGCAAACTTTGCTTTAAAGCTGGTTCGACGAGGTGCGGAAGGTGAAAAGTGTTCCAGAGTTTGCTCGTCACCCATAAATCTTCACGTTTAACCACTCCCGAGTTTATTTTATTTTTAATTCCCAAACCGACTTCTTTTTCGTTTTGATAAACAAATGCACAATCAATGTGCCGGTATCCGATATCAATGGCATCTTCAACTGCTCTCGTTACGTCTTCTGGTTTCGATTTCCAAGTTCCAAGTCCCAGAATTGGCATTTCAAGACCATTGTTTAATTTTATTTTGGGATCGATCAGCCATCACTTTTTATTGATGTGAAACTCACAAACGAACAGAATCAAATAAATAAAACTTACAAATGTTTTGAGTCTCCGACTTTATTAACAAGACTGCCAACTTAAATTGAACGCTAGCAAAAATTTTTTCAGTAAATTTTATTTAAGTTGGCACCAAAGATAAATTTTAAATTATTATTAGTCTTAAGACCTTTACATACAATTATTTTAATTTTTTTTTTTTTTTAAAAAAAGGTTAAATTTTAATATAAACTTTTAAAATAAAAAAAAATTAGTTTTTAGTTTAAAAAAAAAATAAAATAAATAAATAAATAAAAAAATTACATTTCTAATTTGTTTACTTATTATATAATATTTTTATAAAAATAATAAATACTCGCATTTTTTAAAATATAATTTAAAATAATATAAAATTAAATAAATTCATATCAATTATTGGCGTTGAAAATCGGTAAGAGATTAGAAAAAAAAAATTATTTCGTTTATAGTTTTCTTGAACTAACCAAATCCTTACAAACAATCGCGTTTCACTGCAATATCGTTATGCATTGCAAAAAGCATACTCATTATTTATAAAGGCGCAATATGATCAATTTATTTTCCTCATGTTAACGAAAGATTCTTTTCTTCCTATGACTTTAAATGAAAAAAAAATTTGTCACGTGTTAATTAATTAACACAACAACAAAAAACGTTATTTTTTTTTCCTTTTCCCTCGTACTATTAAAAAAAATAATAATGATAATAATAGTAGTACGCGCAAAGTTGAAATTAATATTCAAAAAAAAAAAAAAAAAAAAAAAGAGAGAGAAAAAAGAGAGAAAACTTTATTTTTAATAAGATGTTAACGACCCTTTATTATAAAAAATTCTTTGTTTTACACTTTTATATTATTATCATATAGTAAAAAAATTATTTAAAAGCGTAAACAATGAACACTTATTAAAAGGAAGTGTCATGATCACTAAAAAAAAAAAAAAAAATTTTTAATATGTTCAACTTCACGCTTCGAAAAATTTATTTCCGTTCAAATAACAAAAAAAAAAAAAAAAAAAAAAAAAACCAAAGGTTTTTATTATTAAATTTAAATTTAAAAATTATTAACTTACCTTTTTTAAAAGAAAAAAAAAAGAAAAATTAATAATTTTTGTATATTATCTAGAAAATTTATTTATCCGATTTATTTAAATAAAAATATTAAATTTAAAAGTATTAAAAATAAAAATAGAAATAATAACAATTGACTTTTTCGTGAAATTCAAAATTTAAAAAAAAATCATTTTAAACGAAAATCAAACGATTACGACATAATAATAATAATAATAATAAATAAAATGGCATCATTAAGTTTGATGTTTGATGTTTTTTTTCTTGTATAAATTATTTACAGGAGTTAATTTTTTTTTTTTTATGGCGTCTTAAAAAATATTAAATTTCGCACAAAAGAAAAGAAAAAATAAATAAATAAAATTGGTAAAAACGAACGAACGACGTCATAATAGATCTTTTAAAAAAAAAAAAAAAAATGAAAATGAAAATCAATCATTTCTGACTTATAGAATTTCTTAGAAATAGAAAAAAAAAGAAATTTTTTTTAAGGGTAGTGCATATAGTGCATCCCCCTGTGGTGATTAAAGGGTTAAAAAAAAAAAAAAAAAATCAATAGAACGTAGAGAATATTTTTACGCACCGCAGGAACTTTTTTTTTTTCCCTTTTTTTCTTTTTATTTTTGTTGTTTTTTATTTTATTTATTTTTTTTTTTTTCGAAAATCGATTACGTTTAATTAAGTTTTAAATGCCGATGAATAAAAAAAATTTACGCCATTTTTATTATGCAAAAAAAAAAAATTAATAAGAATAAATCGAAAATAATAATAATAATAATAATTACGTGGATAAATATAGCAAAATGAAATATTTAAAAAAAAAAAAAAAAAAAAAAAAAGGTGATAACTTATCGATTCGAATTTAATATTATTATCAATCAAACAATAGCAGTAGACAAATTAAATTACAGTAATACCCGTCGTAATTGTTGTTAAAGAAAATTGGAAACGAGAAACAAACAAACAAACGTTGCAAACAACCGACAAACAAACGTTAAAGACAGAATTCATTCCCCAAACATTATTTCTCCTAAATAATCTGCTGAATTTATCACCATCATCATCATTAACATCATCATCGCAATAATAATAATAATAATAATAATAATAATAATAATAATAATAATAATAATAATAATAATAATAATAATAATAATAATAATAATAATAATAATAATAATAATAATAATAATAATAATAATAATAATAATAATAATAATAATAATAATAATAATAATAATAATAATAATAATAATAATAATAATAATAATAATAATAATAATAATAATAATAATAATAATAATAATAATAATAATAATAATAATAATAATAATAATAATAATAATAATAATAATAATAATAATAATAATAATAATAATAATAATAATAATAATAATAATAATAATAATAATAATAATAATAATAATA